GARAAAGTTKTATTTTAAGTGTAGTTTTTTTGCTGTCAAAGGGTGTAGATTTCATTGTTTGTGAGATTTGGGAGTGCTGTAGCAACTGGGAGCCAATAGCAAGCATGACCGATTTAGAAAAAAACACAACTTGCTGCTGATTAACTTTTAAGTATTTTTCTAATGGTTCACTTATAGTACTGTGGAATTAAAATAATGCTTAGAAAACAAATAAGGGCTATTTAAAGCTTAGTAGAAACATAGTAACTAGTTAATCCTGGTCAATGAATGGTGAAGAACTTTATCCCAAGCTGCAAATGAAYATATAGAAAGTGACTCTTGGGCCATTGTTGATGTGAGTCACTGTCAYAGTAAAGATCACAGCCTGGGGTTTTGGCTTGTGCTTCTGAAACTCACTGTAGATTTTTTTATTAAGCTGGATTGGGTCTGATCTTCTTAAGGAYGCTGTGATCAGAGAGTCCCTGTAAACAGGTTAGTTGCACAGTAACTTCACAGTTTGGATGCATTCTTCAGTTGATGGGTGTCATGGGAAATTGCTTTAAGTGTTCTTTTTTCCTTATATTGCTTGTTAGATTTTATTTATATGTGACATCGAGGTTGGTAGGAATTGACATTTCAGGAGTGTTTGTTTCCAAAGGGCAGCAAGARAATGTCAGCTGTGTGGATCCTCTCAGGCAGCATGTGGAGAGCCCAGCCTTGCTTTTTTATGCTTGTTCTTTGAGTGAGCACTCTGCAGCCTGTGTAGTTAAAAATGCATTTCATTTGGGCAGCACCTCTGCAGGGCTTCAACCACTCAGGCTTGGCTTGGGAAAGCTCAAAAGCCAGTCTTACTTCCAAGCACAGCACTCCTGGCAGCTCCTGCCCTGCAACATTGCCATTTTTACAGTTTCTGTTCCCAAAACAAAGAGAGGTTTGGTTTGCTTAGGAAGGGAATGTTTCTTGAATGGGATGACTGGAGTAGAGATCCCTGAAGAATGTTCCTCGTGTGGATGAAGAAGGAAAAGAGCTTTCAATCTGTTGACAGTTTCTAGCCATAATTTTTATAGTTTTTGTTGGCAGTAGAAATTAGTTAGGCCTACAGAGACATGGGCACTTGTGAGCTGCAGTGGAAGGTTGTCTGTGCAAGACACCTTTYTGTGACACAGCTCTCAGAGGAAATGCCTGGATGGTCCCTTGAGAGAAGGAGATGGGCTGGTTTTGCAGTGTCTGGCCCAGTAACCAGTCATGTTTGCCTGACAGGTTAAATTCAGGTGCTCCCACGAGCTGTGTTAAACACACAGGAGTTTCTGCCCAGCATGTGTTTTACGTGTTGTGATTTCACTTACCGAAAGAACAGTAGTAAAGAGTGCCATTATTTKTGGTGTTTGTTTTGTTCTGTATTTGCAAGTTATTTAGAAAAAATACAAGTTTTTTTCTGGACATGTTTTCATTTTATTTTCCATTGTTCATATCAAATTATCACATTTTTGTCAGATTTTAAAAGGTGCAAAAGTGAAATATGTTCTAAATTGCTGTTTGTCACAAAATTTCATAACTTTTAGTTAAAATAAATTACAAATTGCTTATAGAAGCAGAAAGAAAAGCATAGTTGTATGTGCAGAAATAGTAATTTAGTTCAGATTGRTATTTTTCTAAATATTATGAAGTTTTATTTCTGTGTTTGAGAACACGTCATGTAACAGGATTTGGTTGACTCAATGAGAAATTTCCAGAACTGAGCTTGGGAGTTGATTTAAAATAAAGAGGATATAGTTGTACAAAGAACAGCTGGAATTTTGCAAGTAGACACTGCTGTTCTGTTCCACTTTTTCCTATGTGGACCTCTTTGTGCACTGGAGGAGTTGTGTGAATAAATGTGCAATTTAGACATTATAGCCTTCTCTGTGTTTGAAGGGGAAGCMAAAATTAATACACTGGTCATTTTTATTTAGTCATGGCAACTGAATGTTAACCATCATGAGGAAAATCATGATGACTTTTGTTGTGGTACATTGTTGTTTTTTAAAATAGTGTGCTGGGGTACTTTGGGGAATACTTCTCCAGAGTCACCAAACAGAAAACACAACTACCTCCAGGAGCCTCTGTGTTGCATACCATGAGGGACTTTTCTGGATAGCTTACTGTATAAGCCTCTTTTGTTTCTAGATGGAGGTTCACAGGACTTTCCTTTGGARCTACTCCAAAGGAGTAGCCCTTTCCATTTGGTATGCAAAGACCTCATTTTGCTCACATCCAGAAAGTGAATTTTAATCAGTGTTTTCATTGCATCACTAAGGATTTGTTCACACTCAGAGGTCTCAAGTTTGGATGTCTTGATTTAACCCAGCCAACAACTCAGGCAGCTGCTCGCCCACTCCACCACAAGTAGAATGGGGGAAAGAATCAGCAGAGTAGAAGTGACARAACTCATGGGTTGAGATGAAGACAGYTCAGTAGGTAAAGCAAAAGCTGTGTGCTCAGCAAAGCAAAACAAAGAACTCATCCACTGCTTCCCATGGGCAGGTAGYTGTTTAGCCATCTCCAGAAGAGAAGGGATGCATCACCCATAACAGTGACTTRAGAAGACAAATGCCATCACTCTAAAGATCCCCCTTCTTTCTTCTTCCCCCTGCTTTACATACTCAGCATGATGCCATATGGTCTGGARCATCCATTGGGGTCAGTTGGGATTAGCWGTCCCAGCTGGGTCTCCTCCCAGCCCTTTTGCTGGTGAGGAGGTACAAGAAGTAGAAAAGGCCTTGGCTCTGTGCAAGCCAAGCAATGACCAAACCATCTCTATCCTATCAACACCTTTTCCACACAAGCTCAAAGCATACTAACCATCGTGAAGAAAGCTAAGTGTACCCCAGCTAAATGCAGTACAGGATGTTGCTCAACAGAAAGAGAATTGCTTAACAAGGCTGGTGGCTCATCACACCCCACTTGAGTACAGCACAGAGAGTRTTCATCATGGCACTAATCTCAGGAATTGCTCCTTGGTGCAGCCTGGAAGGGTGCAGAGGTGGAGTTTAGCCTTTCAGTCTTCCTGAACAGAGGCTTGCCTACTGCTTTCATCATGTTTCCATCCAGTGTGTGATGGAAGCRGGAGTGTATCTCTCTAAAACTCGTAACAAGAAACAAAATGAAGAATAAGCAACTTTTTTTTTTTTTGTATTAGAAATTACTTTATGTCCTGTTTTYACTGTCTTTACACCAATGGTTGAAAGGAGTATTTGGTCTGTGACTTTACAGGAGGTAAGTTTATTTGTGTTTGTATGTATCAGCATTGTTTGTCCTCTTTGGAAATGCAGTATCCTCCTTTTAAAAGCTAACCTGAGTTCACCAGCCACCTTTTGCATGCAGAAGGAGGACTTTGGGAAAGGGAGAACTATTCTTTTACTGTCTGTAGAAACTGAGCAACGCTGAGGAGAAGGAAATGGTTGTCACAGTAAATTTAGTGTTGTGTAGAGGAGGCAGGAAGCTGTCTGTTTACACCAGGGACAGATAGCAGGTCTGACTAGTTGGCTGATGCCAGGTTACAAAATGCTGCCTGTGATGTGAGTCCTGCTGTAACAGACCAGCCCCATCTGTTGAACTGTATGTCATTGCAAGCATATTTAATAAAACTCTAAATATTTCGGAGCCTATGTAAATAGTTTGCTACACATGAAAAGTGCTGTTTGCTCTTTCTGTCTTTACTCCGTCCCAGTAGGTTTTATTTAGACTTAGGCAGACTTAAGGGTTTCCTCCTGAGAAGGGAGGCAGTTTTACACTGCTAGACCTGGGGGAGGAGCTGGAAAAAACAAACCATCTAGTCAGTCATACTGCCCTGGCTGGAGGAAGAGTAAAGGTGGCCTTGTGAGAGGCTCTCAGCTGGACATTAAGAGTACAGTGAATGAGCTAAAAACGTCCTTTAGCTATTGACTGGATGCCCAAGGTAAGAGATCTTTAACTCACTACCAACATGCCGTGTAAATTCTAGGCTAAAGGGAGGATAGTGCATTTCCAAGCACAGAGCTTGCTTTCCCACTTGTCCGCGAATGCAAAAGAGGAACTCTCAGCCTCACTCTGTGTGCCTTGCTTTGCAGACACTGAAGCTTTTGGCAAAGACATGGTAAAATAGTAATGCCAACTCGGTTATTTTGTGAAAGTCATAAGAATTTGCTGCTTTCTTTCTATAAACAACATCCCTRTGAAAAGCATCTCATCCTACTCTGGTCTCAAGTTTTAGGTGAACTCAGGTCACTTTCTGAGACAGCAGAGCTATTTAAAAAACCAACATTTCTAAGATGGTCTGAACAAAATACAGGAATAAAGAAGTGTTAGAGATTATTATTATTATTATTATTATTATTATTATTATTATTATTATTATTATTATTATTGACTTCAATTTGGTTTTACACTTTAAAGCATATATTACGTTTACAGACAAAAATATACTTTAGATTTTTTAAGTTCCTTGTCCCAAGCAGACTACAGTGCATTTAGAATAAGAAAGATCTCCAAAGTTGTGTGTCTTTCAGCAATGATTATTTTAACTGTGTTAAGACAAAAGCATGTTATGTATGGCTTCTGTAAAAAACAAGTTACTCAAAGTATGATCTTTTGGAAGGGAAACAAATGTACTTCCCGGTACGGGGCAGTGCCTATTCTAGTTACACAATAGGGTCACATTAAGAAGAGAGAATTTGTAGAGGTTCTACATCCTGCCTACATCCTACAGAGGAAGTTCCCACACAGAAGAGACCTGTTTTGCATGCTCTTAGAACTCTACTTGTCCTGTTTCTATTTAAGACGAACATGCAAAATGGGCTTGCAACAGAAATTAAAATTGCAATTTCACAGTTGTGAGTTTGGAAAGAAAAAAAAAAAGTGAGCATAGCCGGTGAGTAGGGGAAAGTAAAAACAGGTGAATAATGTACTTATGCAAGAAATCACATTTTGTAGAGAACATACATTACATTTCAGATGAGAAAAAGTAGTTTTTGAAATCTTAGCATATAGGTTTTTGTTCTTCCACCTATGAGTTTCCATATGAAAGTGTTGTTTTACTTTGTATTTCCATAGTGCAGAGATTCCCTTTAAGCCTATTTTGGTATGGAAGATACCCAGTGATGGAAAGCCAGGCCAGTTTGTTTCTCTTAAAATCCATTTGAGGAAAGCACCTCTATSTGTCTGATAGATCTGAGCACTCCTGGCTGTGATTTTCTGAAAATGAGGACTTGTATTTGATGTTGGACCCCTGGAATCTTTTGAAGATTCAAAATTTTTGAATTTTGATGCCCACAGGCATCTTTTGAATATGGTTCTGTTTCTCAGTCCTAGCACAACAGTCACAGAAACTGATTTCTAAAAGACAAGAATTACTGCTGTTCATTTTCCTGTTCACTCACCTTCTGTAATTAGTGCTCCACACAGACATTTCTGTGTGGAGAGAATAGATAGGGCAGTGAATCAAGGGCCTGCAGCCTCTGAGTTCTCCATGTTATGTTCCTGTCATTGCCCCCAGCAGGTCCTGGGKCTGTGCTCAGGGTGGAGCTCCCCTCTCCACCTGGCAATTTTTTCTCAGCAGGTTTTCTCTAAAGTACACACTAGTGTCACTGGCATGAGTTACAGAGAAGTGCACAAATGGYGATACAGGATATATGAGCTGTGGGGAGTTCCCTGCTAAATGCTGTTCTTTGCTGTTCTTTGCTGATCTCACAGGAGATGGGAAGTTGGCACTGCACCACCTACAAAGTGGACTATTTTTATGGATCCCTGCAGACAGAATTTTGTAAAGTGGAGCAGGATAGCTTTCTATTTCATTTGGAAGCATTATTATGAGTAACTCTTAATTGGTCCCTGTTCTCTGCTGTGGGTGGGATTTTAGCTGCCTAATTTCTTTCGATAATGAGCAAGCAGAAACCAAGTGCTTTTGTGAAGAAGTCAGTGTTTACTTTTGACAGGGAAACACTACAATCAGTGTGTGTGCCTTACACAACACAAACCAGTGGGATGTAAGTGGAATAGCTGCATTTGCACTGCTGGCTTAAGTCACTGTTGTTTCCCAGAGCAGCAGTCCTGTCTCAATGTGCACTCTTTCCTTCTCAGTGTATTATGCACACAATGCACTTGCTCATTGCTCTTGGTAAGGATTAACTTCTTTTCCTGGTTTTTCCTTTCTTTCCTCAGAGGGAAAACCGCAGGCTCCAAGAAGCAAGCATGAGGCTGGAGCAGGAGAATGATGACCTTGCCCATGAGCTTGTAACAAGCAAAATTGCCTTACGGAATGACCTGGACCAGGTAATGTTAACAGAGATGGGTCTCAGCTCAGCCTTTGGCAACAGCAATTTTAGGAGCCCTGCTTTGTGCTCAAGTGAAACCATGAAAACAACATTACAAGTGTAATTATCTGTGCCTTTATTTTTCTGGCAGCCTCACTCCTAGCTGCAGTCAGCTGGATTTCCATATGCCATGTAGGCATTCAGTGGTGYCTAGCCAAGACTGACTCCATCTTCTCTGCTGGGGATTGTTTAGAACATGTATGCCATAACCTTTAGGCAGATAGCAAAGAAAGAACGTTTTCCTGAAAAAGGTACCACATAGGTCTTGAAGGACTAGTTTCAAAGTAAGTTCCACTGCAAAATGTCTGYGTGGATCTGTTTTTCATAGCAGTTTTAGTACAGCCAGCAAACTTCAGACATAATGAATTGTTATGGCATCGAAAATTGAATTGGCTCCTGGGTGTTCATGGGTAAGTGCTCAYGTTCCCTGTGGAGACTGGAATGTGGAGGGCAGCATCATTCAGAGCCCTTTGCCTCAGAGATGATTTTCAGAGGCAATCAGTCCTCTCTTCCTGAAGTGCTTTATGTGGTATTGGTAAATGCTGTGACAGCTCTTGGTAAGGTACTGAATACTGGAGGRCCAAGCTTCACCACACCTTGTGATTAGTCTCTTGCTCAGTGAGGGCTATCGTGCCTTCTCTAATTAAAAATCTTTTCCTGCAAGGGCCTCTCAATTGGATTTCACATAATTATTTGGCTTGCTTTATCTAATCTCAGAATTGTAAACATCATTGCCCACCGTTATGCAAGTTACATTTTGCTGTAGGCAGATCCTGGACAGTTTGGCTCTGCTGATTTGGATCCATGGGATTCCAAAATTGTGAGCCACGTAGGTGAGCACAGGCAGGCAGAGATGTGCTCTGCATGGAGCAGGCAGTCTTGTGTGGAGGCTAAAAGCAGTGTCTGAGTTGCCCAGTCTTCCCTGGGAACTCCRGGTGTACATGAAGCAGCTGCCCATGCTTGTTTTTCCTCAAGTGTCATGACAAGGCTGTCAAACACATAYATGCACTAGTCCCATTTCTTGTTCTCCTACATTTTCCCATCTTTCTGTAGACAAGAGTGGCTCCATCAAGTTTTCCCACATCCCATCTCCATTCCCAGGCACTTGTGGTACTGCGTTCCTCATCTGCAAGGACAGGGGATACCATGTGCCACTGCAGGAGCCTGGAGAAACTGGCATGAACACAAGAATGGAGGAAAGATTTGTAGTTCCTTCAAAGTGTATCTTAAACAGGTCTTTCATCAAAAACATCCTTGTAATATCCAAGTTCTTTTGTTCTAAGATGTTAATCACATCGATTTTCCATTCTTGCATTGCTTGTTTTCCTTTCTCCCATGCAACTTTAAACACACTAAGTAATGAAGAAATCCTTAATCCATCTTTTCAGTCATGGAGATGGTAGAGCTAGTTCTGCTGCCCACAATCACCACTACTATCCTCATTAATCATTATCTCTGGGGCAGTAAGATGAGCTGATACCACTTCAGTGATAAAAAACCAAACTTCAGTTCAGAGACAAGTTCTATATGGTTACTTGTTTCCAATGCCCTTTTCACTCTTGTAATTTCAGCAAACTCAGTGTTAATTGGCCACAAGCATTTCCTGTCCTGGACCTCATTACTGAACAGGAAGGGTGGTGTGTGCAATGGTGTGATGCCTGTGTATTGGAGAGGCCTACAGAATATATCCAAACATTGAGAAATCCATTTCTCTCCTGATGATCAGTGAGGACAGTGCTTATGAAAACAAACCATTCCCAGCATGTGTCACCACAAGCTTGGGCCTTCCAAGAAAAGAGAAAATTTTATTCTCAGTTATCAGGTTTCTTCATGTTATACTTATTAGCACAAATAAATCATTTTCTCTGGTGGTCCTGATTGTCTCTACACTTGTCTTTGCCTGAACACTTTGTAGGRTCCAGTGCAGACACCTAAGTTTTTTATAGTTACCTGTTTTCCCTGCTCACAGATTAAAARATGTGATGAGTTATTTGAAGTTACACAGGAGCTAAATCATGCTGCCCTTGCTTAGATTAATATTGGTCCCAACAAAAATATTCTCTACATCATTGTTTGTACAAGGATGCAGTGTCTGTGCTTATGTGCCATCTGGGCATAGGTAAACAACTGGCCAGAGGATCGTTTTGCACAGTTGTTGAAATGCAGTTTCAACTTTAGTAAATGGCTAACTGAAAAGGGAATTTTATATCAAAAACTATGTGAGCCATTAAAAGGCAGGAAAATACAATGCGAGAACCTAAAGCTAGTGTATTTCTGAGCTATATATCCTAATGTATTTGTATTGGCACAGATAACATCTGATTTACACCATTGTCTCTGATTCTAGGCTGAAGACAAAGCAGATGTTTTGAACAAGGAACTTCTCCTGACCAAACAGAAGCTAGTGGAGACTGAGGAAGAGAAAAGGAAGCAGGAAGAGGAAACTGCTCAGGTAAAGCATTSTCCAGCTTTTCCCATTTAGTTAGGAAATGCAAGCAAAATGAWATGCAGAAAAGTGTGGATGTGTTGCATTTGTGAAAAGGATTTTGTCCTCAAAATGCARTTTCAATTAAAAGTTTATAGTGGCATGGTAATTTTTTTTTTCCAAAGTATGGTTTTCAGTGTTTTTCTTTACTTGAGCTCTGAATGTCTAGTTTTCCATAGTTTACCCTYTTCCAAGTATTGTTAATGATTGTTGTCACTGATGGTGAGCAATCTCAGGTAAGGCAATGTGATCAGACCTCTTAAATATCTAAATGAGGAACTGGAGGAGTTGTTGCCTTGTAAGAGTCCATTCTGGATTCAGCTGCTGGATTGCTTAAATAATGTTCCTGCCTGAAGCTACAACCAAGAGCAAAACAGGGGTGAAGGTCAGGAGAATTTTGCTGAATAGACCTGGCTTCAAACTCAGTTGCAAAATATTCAGTCTTAGTTTTGTAATCCTGTATATCTAACATGTGCGTTTCAAAAATGATATCCTGATTTTTATATTTGTTATTTGGCAACAGCGACTGCAGCAATAAATGGTAATTCTTTGTGCCTCTCTAAAATGGAGTTCTCTGATTGCCCTAAGTAAGGCAGTGAGGCCTTTTTCCTACTGACAGGGCTTTTCAAATGGCGTAGTTCTGAAGGAGAGATGAGTTAGCTGTGTTTTAACTCAGTGCCATAGATGCAAACAGATTTTTTTTCTCCTGTTACAGAGATGACAGTGATAGTGTTGAGAGATTCTTCTTGCTGCACCTCCAAACAAACAACCAATCTGGCCAAACCTGCTGTGACAGTGGGCAGAAAAACAAAAACTTAACCAGTAAATCTTGCTTAATAGTAATGTCTTCTTTTTTTGTTCTGTGGACTATGATGTACCACCATTTAACACAGAGCATGCTAAGTAAGCTACAGGAGAATTCTTCAAGCAGGGATAAAGGGTCACAGTATAGACCTTTTTGCTTATGACTGATATACTAAGTATTTGTAAACTGAGTAAATCAGACACTTATCTAAGAATGGGAATTTGGTAAGAAGCTGCTGTAGAGCTATTGTAAACACAGAGACACGTGAAGTGAGCAGTCTGATGAACATTCTGAGAAGTTCTGTCAGTGTACTGTGTAACTTTTCTCCTTCAATTCCTAGCTGAAAGAAGTCTTCAGGAAGCAGCTGGAGAAGGCAGAATCTGAGATCAAGAAAACCACAGCCATTATTGCAGAGTATAAACAGGTACTATTCCAGAGATGCTCCTCTTGTATTTCTTCTTTCAGCCTCTTCCAAGAGCCGAGTTTTCAGTGTTGCAGATCGCATCCTTCAAAAACGCTCCACTGCCTTTTAGGCTTTCAGACGGCAATGCTGTAATTTGTCATAAATCTTCTTGTGGCTTTCCAAATAGTCTCCTAATTAGACAATCAAGAGTAACCTGTCTTTCAGCTAATTTTAGTACTAGAGGGTGAATGCATGTGTACTCAGTGACACATTGCAGTATAAACATCATAAACCAACTCATCCATAAAAAGTACCTGTTTCTCTGTTCCASTTCTGTATTGTATACTGATGGGTTTTTATCATTAGCAGCAGCAGTGGAGTTGTTAAGAGGGYCTGCATATATCTGAGTGAGGCAGAATTTAAGAAATGTTGGTTCTAGCAAAAACCATTGTTAAAAAGCATAGATTCTATTTTGCTATAGTAAACTTGAGCTAAGAGATTGCTTTCTTTGCTCCAGATTTGTTCCCAGCTGAGTACTAGGCTGGAAAAACAACAAGCGGCCAGTAAAGATGAACTGGATGTTGTGAAGGTGAGAACGATGTCTCTACATACTGGATATTTCTAACAYAAGTATTGCTGAATACCAGGGATACAGAATAAAACATGAACTGAAACTTAAAGTAACATCCACATTAATTTTTCAGAGTTGTAAACAAGGAAAGGGTTTATTTCCTTCATTTCCTTTTATTTAATTTATCTTGTATCAGACAGCGGAACTCTCAAACTGAAGTGCATATAGTACTTGGCTTTTGTTTTTGCTGTTAAAATGTATACTTCTGGCAAAAAAAATATAGGGAAAGAAGTATTTACTTGGATGTTTTGATTAACTGGAAAAAAAAAAAGACTCTCTAGAAGACAAAACATGTTTCTCACGTGTGTACAGTAGTGGGACTGGAATTAGACTGGACATGGTTTATATTTGGGTTTCTGTAATTTAAGCAGAATTTAAATAACTAAAGCAAATGGCACAGCTCGGGCCATCCCCAGAATACCCATAGTGGTTCCCCTCGCTTCTCTAAACCCCTTACCTGGAATATCTACATAAGAGGTAAACATTCCCTGATCAGGCAATAATCCCACCGCTCTACTCTGTCGCTACTGAGTAGGCAGAGTTGTTTACCCCCTGTTGTGGCTTCTACATATTTCTTTAGTACTCAAGCTGAACTGGATTTGTTGCTTTTTAGTGACCTTTTTATGTTATTGATAATAATATGAAATAATTCTAGGAATGATGTTCCTATATTCTGCTGAAATMGCTCAATATCCRRTTTTAGTTCRTGCAAGGCAGGYTGGCTGTTTCATTTACTCAGACTTMATTTACTCTGTGAGTTGTGCTGACAAAAATATTACAAAGCTTTGGTAGCAAGATGATTCTAATATTGGAGTAAAGTATCTGTRTTTAGAGCATGCTAAGTAGATTGTAGGAATTTTTATACTGGTTAACATACCCTGGRAATTGTTCATGAACTACTCAAATTTTTTCATGCCAATTATGAAAACTGAAGTACTAAATTGTTTGAGATTGAGGTAGTCTGACAAAAAAAAAAAAAAGCCTCTTCCAGGAAGTACAGCAACATGGATTAAGAATGAGTTTTCTGGGTATTTCAGGGTAAAGTGATGGCCTGCAAACACTGCAGTGAGATTTTCAGCAAGGAGGGGGCACTGAAGGTGCCTGCTGTAAGCACGGACAACAAAGGCATTGAAACAGATGATGAGAAGGATGCATTGAAAAAGCAGTTGAGAGAGATGGAGCTGGAACTTGCACAGACCAAACTGCAGCTCGTGGAAGCCAAGTGCAAAATTCAGGTACGTGGAATCCAAGTACAGCCAGGTGGTCACCTTAACCTCATGCTTAGTCCAAAATTATTCCAAATTATGCAAAAAAAGTGTTCCAAAAGAGAGCACATACCTGCATGCCTGTATATCTGTGAACTTTCAGAAAAAAGAAGTCTGTCTTCTAAAGAAAGAGGTTTTTCTTTATGTGTCTAAATATCTTGTGCTGTTTCTGCAGTTTGAATGTCTTCTCTCCCCAGTGCCTAGGAGATTGCAAGGGAAGGCAGGGACTGAGTGTGAAGATGTTTCTTTGTTAATTAATTGAGGTTTGATCAATTCTAACTATTCTGCTTTCTTAGGAGCTGGAGCACCAGAGAGGAGCCCTTATGAATGAAATCCAAGCTGCCAAAAACTCTTGGTTTAGCAAAACCCTGAACTCTATCAAAACGGCCACAGGCACACAGGCACCACCGCAGCCCCAGCCTCCCCTGCCTCCCAGAGAGGGCAGCACATAGTTCCGGCCACACCCGGCACAAGAGCACAAAGAACAACACAGCTGAAACCCTGGAGGATTCTTCCAGTGGTCTCTCCTCCCGGGGAAAGGACATAAGGCAGGAGTGTGGGCTTGAAGTGAAATTCTTCGGTGTTTTTCATTCGTTTTCTGATGTGACCCTTTTCAAAGGGGAAAAACATCCTGGTTTATGTTGAATTCCTACTTCCCATACTGCCTTGCTGAAAGCCACGTTCTGATACCTTCATTCTTTTACACTTTATTTTATATGACTAGATGTTAAATAAATACTTCAGAACTAGGTCTTTAATACAACTAATTTGAAATTATTTTTTATCTTGCATAGAGGGTTTTTCTTCTGGAGGAAGAGAGAGAATGGAAAATGTCTAGTACTGCAGCATAATCTCTCCCTAGAAAGCACAGTGTAACATGTCTCGGATAATTTATGCCCTGGGACCATCTCAGAAGTTTATCACAGTGACTGCATCCTGCAGAGAAGCACTTTTTGTAAAGCCTAGGCCATAGCAAAGATAGGCTTGTGCTCTCCTGGCACAATTGCTATGATCTTCCCTGGTAACTTCTTAGTTTGGATTGGCTTTTCTTAAGAAATGCAAGTAGTGCAGTTTTTTGTAACACCATTGTTTAAAGGCTATTTACAGCTCAACTGGAATTTAACMTAAACTTACCTAGTTCCTTTTTTAGAATTCATATTTATATTAAGAATTCCAAGGAGTAATTCCTTCCACTKGGATAAAGGGAAAACTGTTTTGACACTTATTTGATGTTTTTGCTGAGAARCAGAGTGAAGACCTTGCATGGTTTTGACCTTTTGTAAATCCTGTGCAATAAAGGGTAGGTTTTATGAATAAAAGTAATGAAAACCTTGCCCTGGGTCTATATTCAGATTCCAAAATTGACACAGAAATGAAGTACCAAATAAAATACCCAAAAGGCTTCTGCTGCACTGATGAATAAAATATCACAGAAGCAAGGTCTGTTTGCTAGAGGCTTTTGGTTATTGTGGGTATTGCCTATTTTTATAAAAACAAGCATTTTCAAGRGGAATGCAAACCCTAAGCTTTCCTGTCGGGGTAGACTTCTCTGGTGATTCCCAAACCTGTCTGGTTGTTTTATATCTCTTAAGGTAAGAAAGTTCAAAAGCATTCATTTTGACTAAACATAAAGTGTTCATAGAAATACTTATTTCATGGAAAATTAAACTATTGCTTGAACTGATGGAATATTTTTTTAATTATACCKGTCATGTCTAAAGATGATCTTGCAGGTAAATGTCATTGCTGGACTAAATGTTGTGTATTAATTGTTTCATTTACAAGATTTTTCCAGGGACATTAGTTCTGTTTTGATCTTTTTTAAAAAAAATTCTATGGAATGCCATACATTGTTGGTTTTGTACAATAAAATTTAAAGATACCCATCTTGGGCTTTGTTGTCAAGCATAATTGTGAATTATTTTCAACAGTTGAAACAAATTTAATGTTACCAGTGGCAAAGGAAAGATTCTGAAAGGCAGTCGGCTGTTAGAAGTAGAGATCAAAATATAATCACCATTCAGACCCAATTCTCTCTTCTAAAAATAAGGGGTTAAAAAACTATTATTTTAAAATGTACCTTCAAGAACAGTGATTTTCTGGAATTATTAATATGGTGAGGAAAAAAGGGAGAAAAMCAGAAGGTATGTTATCAAAGGTCTTTCTCCCATGTCACTTTCTTGCTCATAATATTTGCATAAATGTTTCCATTTCCTTGACTGACAAAACCCCGTGTTTGTCATTCACTTACCAGTTTCGCTTCACATTCAGAATGTGAATCCAAATTCATAATAAATCTGAAGTTGTTTTTAAGGATACCTGGTGAACTATATGATTGTTGCATTTGAGAGTATTGTGCCCATGAGGAAAACTTGGTTGTTGGACAAGTACCTGAATTTCTCATTTARTTTATCTTAATCATACTTACAAGTGGATTTAAAACCATGACTGGAAAAGTTCAGGAAGAAAGATTAAAGGAATGTGTAAAGTTTTGATTCCCTGAGCAGATGAGTTAGGAGTTCACTGCTGTTCACCCCTCCAACTCCACACTGTACAGTCGTGTCCCTYGTCTTTGTTAGAGTATGTACTGGAGATGATTAAAAACAACAGCAAAAAAAAAGATGTGGGTGGATTTACCCCTCTATGGTTCATCTTTCATCAAGTGATTGAGTTACATCACCTCAAAGGGTCCARTGAGTGAGCGGATCATGGGAGTGGGACTTTCCAAGTTCATCAAAAAGGAACTGGTAATTACGGTCACCACGTTTCACATGAGCTTTGACACAACATTCCTTTTCTCAGTGTAGCTGCTTTATGACTTTGGAAGTTGAGTTTCAGGAACAGAACCACACTTACTACCTGCTAGCCACGATGGTTTCAAACCCTTGTAAAGATGGAAGCTGGTTTACCTCACCAAATGAAGTTTCAGAAAGCAATGACTCTAAAAGGCAGTAAACAATTTCCACCTTCCAGCTGTAGATCCAGGGGAGCAATTTGTAGCAGTGGCATTTGGAAGAGTAATATTCAGGTGGAAACTTCATCTTCTCAGCATTACTGAAGGAGTAAGAAAATGGCTTTRTGGCATTATCTTGATGAATATTCAGAAACAAGGAAAGGAGCAGGACTCCATGATTAAACCAGGCAAGCTATAATTCTATCTGCTGACTGTTGATGCTATGGGGAAATKTAGTTTCCTGCAAGAAAAGAGATCTGTGTGTGACAGAACTACCTACACATATATTGTTGGTGGATTTGTCAAGGATAGCTGGCTCACTGTTCAGCTTTTCAGCAGGAAACATCATCAAAGTCTCACTGAAACTGTTGCTTCCATGTGACATTGGAACAGCTAACATAGCTGCTGAGTCTGGAGTGATCAACCTTTTTTCCCTTAATCTCTAGTAAACTATGTGTCCACATCACACTTTTATTAAAATTAATTTGAATTTTATAAATATAKATATGTGGAACTAAAACCTATTTTTAAATTTTATTGAGAAGGCATCATTCTGAAATAAAGCCTTTACCTTGATTAGGAACAAACTTCCAAAGAATATTTTTACTACAACTTTTATCTTGTTGGATTCTAATCTCTTACTGAGATGCCCAATATGGGGGGGGGGGGCCTAAAAAAAAGTCTTTTTCACTTTAAAAAGTTGTTTTTCCTTTGACTGTAACACTTTACAGGCTAAATGAAACAAGGCTGATTTAGTTAYGTGGTACATCTGTGAACTAGTCTTGTATTATCTTTGTGAATCAAACTTAATATTCTAAAGTAATAAGACTTRTTCCACTTAGTTTATGTTTCTAAATGTACCTGGAGGGAATTAAAAAGAAAAAAAAATAGAAWATACCATGGGTAGAGTTAAGCCAAGAAACTGCAAAATCCCTGAGGTTCATCTACATTAGTGTTTGGYAGAACCAGTCTCAGGAAAGGTAGTCAGCCTTGTAATCAGTACTGCCAGTGGACAAACCCACCCCTGTCCTGTCCACTAATGAGGATTTAATTTGCTATAGCTGAGTTACATTGCTACAGCTAAGTTAAAGTGCTTATTCGTAAGCATTTTTTTTCTGTTAGACATTTTAAATTACTTCCCTTGGTTGGCCCTTGAAATTTCTTTTGAGATAAAACATCATCTGTGCCACAGTGTTGAGAACAACTTGAAGTAAAAACAGCCATTTACAAGGGGAGACAGAGATAAAAGTGAAGAACTGCAGGAGTTCATCCCCTTCACAAAGCATGAAGTCTCCCATTGACTTCAGGGCTGTGATGCCACTCACTGAAGGTGGTAGTTTAGGAGTAAATGAAAATCTGCATTTACTGGCAGGAAGTRTCAAAATTTGGAAACTACATGCCATGCTTTCTCCACAGGATCAAGGCAGGCCTGCACCCTTCCTTAATATATTAAGTAGCWGCAGTGAAATCCATGAAACTACTTGTATGTGTGGGAGAACTAAACCTYTGATTTTCATTTACTGTTAGACTCAGGGATAATTGGCAACTTCTGCATCTTCTCCTAAGCCTAAACACCCTTGACTCTGAAACCAGAAGCACTCTTACCTTACACTGCTGGTGTTCTTCCAGCTGCTAGAGAGGAAACTTAGTGTCACATCTGATTGATCATGAAGAGTGGGCAGAGATGTTTCCTCAAGGCTGAGGGATTGCTGTGGCAGACAAGCACCTCATGTCCCTGCCAGACACTGCCGAAGGGTCTGTTGTGCAAAGAGCTGGCTGCACCCAATGTGCAAACACAAAGGTTAAAACTAAATTCTTTTTCTGTCTATTGTGCTAATATCCTACTGGGAACTGTCCCATTACCTCCTTCCAAGTAATAGCACTAAGGGGAGACATGATGAAACACTCAAGTTTGGATCTCTCAGGTTTTAGTGTAGATTTATGTCACAGCAGCCTTTAGCCTATTAATGAGCTAATCCAGTTGGCTTTTGGGAAATGCAAGGAATTTGCAAATGGATAAATAACGATCAGCATTGATCAAGACCTTATCTTTCCCAAGTCAGAAGTCTACACAATTTATTTCAGGATTGTGACTTGACACATACAGGTTAGTTCTCCAGGAATACAGGGCTCTCCATTTTTCCTGGGTCTCAACTGCTTTGCTACTGAATGTATTTCATGCTATTTTTACCTGAAAAAAAATATGGGTAGAGAATTAGGATATTACTTTTTATTATTTTCTTATTCAATGGGACTTGCTTTTATTTAACCTGTAAAGGAATATATATGTATCTTTGGAGAACTTTATCTTGCATATAGAATAATATATAAGAAACTGAATGACTAGGGGATAAATACATCAAAGGATTTGGTATCATAAATTTCATTTGTGATTTGATACCACCAGAATCCTGGGCTGTACTAATTTCCTTACAGTTTCTCTAATTTTTGTATTTTATATGATACATGGATGGTACTACCAATGCAAACCAGATGTTCCCAGATTTTTCTTCAGATCTCAATTCCTGCCTTTCAGTAATCCCTRGGTTTGCAATTTTGCTATACCACCCTCAAAAGCTGTGCCAGGAGCTCTCTTGAGCTGTGGGAACTCTTGCTTTCCCATGKAAGAAGATTCTCTGGCTTCTTTGAACTGGGAAAAGATGGCATGTGAATGCAGCAAAGTTTCTAATCTGACATAATCCATCTCCCTCTCTCTGCCATTAAGGTGAATTCACTCCAGCACACTGAAAACAGAGCAGCTTCAAATCTCTGACCCCATGACAATGAACTTTTCCAGATTTGGAGTTGCCTTTGTGACCTAGGTGTGCCTGAAGTTCTCAAATCATAAAGCATTAGGCAAAAAAAGAGCATCATAGATAGGTCGGACTTCAAACTGAAAACCATTCAGTACTACCAGTACTTGGGAARCAAATCCATGTATTATATAAATTACGACATGAAAATATAAGTGTAATGCTTGTTATTAAAAGTGCAATTCAATGTACATGGTCACAACAAATGTTTACTTTTTTAATTGTTACAGAATTGTTCGGATCAGTACCTTGTTATCATTGTGTGAATGATACCTTGTAAAATAAATGGAAATCGAAAACAACTTGGGAATAAGATGCTTTTTTTCCTAAGCCATTTACTTAAGAAGCAGCTTAAATCTGTTTGCAAGAAGAAGCAGCTGCTSTATCAGGTTTTATGATGCAGTTCTCACCAGCTGCCAGAGCAGAGTGACTTGGCAGGTTAGCTGTCCAAAGCATGTTAAACAGCTGATTCCAGCCTGATCCTTCAGATAATGTACCTGTTTATAGGGAGCTGTGCCAGAGAGCTAACGGGCTGCTCCTCTGCTCCACAGGCCAGTCTGAGGTTTCCAGCAGAGAGAATGCTTTTCCTAAAGGTTGATGGTACACAGCAATGCAACAATAGTTGTTGTTAAGGTCTTCATGCTTCCCTAGAGTACGCAAGCCTTGAGGCAGCATGGCTGCAGGAAGAGACAYAGGGAGCAGAAGAAAACAGCAAGAAACTGGCAAGTGACTACTCTAAGAGATGCAGGGCTGAGCAAGAACAGGACAGAGCACAATGTACTGCAGTCAAAAGTATCCAAATGCTTCATAAAACCATTTTTTCCATGTGAGCAACCACTTTTGGATTTCTTTTCTATTAACTGAGATGAACAGATGTTGTTCCCAGATAACTGCAAAAGCACACAGCACTTCAGGAGAAGATAAGGCAAAGAGGGAGGAAAGCTGAWGATTAAATTTACTGGTCATAACATTTTTATTGATTTACCTCCACATCACTATCCAAAGCATTTGTCAGATGAGGCAGCATCCAGATGCTGCTGCAGCTTTATGCAGAGGAAAGCTATATGGAGCTTGTTTTTACAAGAGTGACAACTCTTCATATGGAAGCTGCCACTCAATGGGAAGTGCCATGAGTAGAGAAATGCTCCTGATTTAAGGAAACTAAATAAACACTTTTTAAAGGAAAAAAAAAAGCAAATTATAGGCTCACTTCAAATGCATTTTTACGTTAATGAAAGCATTTTCTCCTCTAGACAGAAATTAAATTAGAAAGCAATACCAATTTAAATAATAAAATTAGAAGCACTTGCTAATATAAGACCACAACTGAGTGTGGAGAAACTCAAAGATTAGTAGCTAAATTAAAAAACGACAAAATTTTTCCTTGTCTCAGTTATTGCTCAACAGAAAAAAATTATAACAAAGTAAATCCTGAATAAGCAACTGCCTTTAACCAATTTAACATGCCATGAAAGTAACTTCCAGCTGTATTTCCTGGATAAAATCAACTATCCTGTCTCCAAACACTATTTCTGAAGATGGTCAGTCTTATGAAAATCCAGAGTTAATTTTGCAGATCTTTCCTCCACTGCAGATCCGGAAACACTGCAGCACAGGGTTGTAATAAACACCTCAGTACAGCATCTGTTAAAACCACTTTGAGGAATGCCAACTTGAACATAAATCTCTGGTTTCAGGGCTTCTATGAATWCATTTTCATCAAATTTCTTATTCCCTCCATACCTCTACAAAGTAAATATYTTAACAGATTAATTCCTGGATGTTAGCTTTAAAAGAGAAAAAAACCCCACCCTAAGGCCATRTATCAGCAAATGAGTTGATATTCCACAATTTGGTAAAACAGGTATTATAACTGACACCTTTTTTTAAGACTTTTCAGCACTGAAGGGCTGTGTTCTGCCTTGGGTCACACTGTAAAGGACATCTGGAGGCAGACGCTGTCTCCACATTCCAGAAGAGAGAAAGAATTGCCATTGCCTTTTTGTTTTCTTTCGGGGAAATTTTAATACCCAGTGGGGTTACAAAATCTTTTTTTTTGTTGGTGCTCACAGCGCTGATTTTAGTAACAGTGTCTACAACTTTCTTTTATTTTTTTTTTTAATGAAGAAAATGCTTAAAGACAATGTTGGTAACATTACACCAGCATGTTCTTACATGCATACAGCCAAATGTTCTGTAAATAAAAGCTACATTTTCCTTGTAAATGGTTRGATAACTAAGCTCTTACTCACAGTCACTTCCACAGTACACATTGTGACATTACATGTCAGGAACAATTTCCCAGCAGTAAATTACTCTCCGGTTTCCTTGTGAAAGCATTATGCATTAGTTATGGGGGTCTCCCTCTGTGGTGGGTGTGCATTGTGAGTTCTGTGCCACCCACACAACCTCTATTGGATTTGTCTTTTAATTGACAAAATCTTACAGCTTGAAAGCTTAAACCTTGTTGGAGTTSATCTTGGATGTCTTTTMCAACCTTMATAACATTTCCCATGAAAAYGAGGAGCAAACACAGAACAGGGYACTCAGTTTAYAAGCCYATCTTCYTTTAAAAGCCGGGAACACAGGTTTCCTCCCTTTCAATCACTATTATCTCCACTCAGCTTGATATTCTTGGCCTGAAGAAGGAAAACAACACCTTATTTTGCAAAATTATTCAAGGACCTTGATAGCCAGTGGCATCTACCGTAAAATCATCAGGGGAGAATTCTGATGGGTGAAGTAAAACCCAGCCCTTGTCCGTCTCAGCGGCCCTCTGAGCTCCTCAAAACGAGCAACACGCGAATCCCTCGGTGCCC